ATATATTCATACATAAACAAGATATTAACAAACGGTTACCACTCTTCTCTCTGCTTTCAGGGAGCTAGGAAATCAAACCCCTGTGCTGAACAGACAAGATCGAACCAAGACAAAGGGCCAAAAAGCGAATGTGCAGGCTCAGAGACTCATCGACACGAGTCATTCTTAGTCTTTTCCCAAGATGATACTGCCCAAAACATGCAAATTGGCCTGAAATTCGTTATTTATCATCTTCCGTAACAAAACGTTCTGCTGAAAATGGCTGAAAGAAGACACACACCTTTCACCCAGTCCTCACCTCCAAATGAAAGCAAAACAGAAGACAAACTGAAGCCCACACCCCAGAGCTGTCAGCAAGGTTGTTTGTTCTACAGTCTTCCAGGATATCCAGAGAAAAAGGTGCATGCAGAGGGCTTTTCTCCTAGAGTCTGGAATATTTAGTCACAATTCTGGTCCTTGTGAAGAAAACAGAGGTGAGCAGAGCACAGCCTAGACATCGCATGTGATATATTCTATAAATCTGATTAGAAATTCATCAAATAAAAATTTAAATCTGTGCCTCCACTGCGATGTACAGTGGCCAAGTGTTTACACTCATGGGAGGCGACAGCATCCAGCAGAGATCCAGGTTTGCACCCTGGGTGTTGCACTTCCAAGCCGCTGACCAAGTTACTTTAACCTCTCTCTCTAAGCCTAGGTTTTTATCGTACATAAAAATGGGGATATTCATAGTACCTACCCCTTAGAATTGTTGTAAAGATTAAGGAAGATAACTCACACTAAGTGCCCGGCCCACAGCAAGCACTTGGTGAAGGTTCAGTCCCGCTACTACCACCACTACACCCCCACTACTCCCCGGTCACCTGCTAAGGGTGGAACATAGTTCTGGAAAATGGAAAATCAGAGCAAGTGTTAGGGAAAGCAGGTTAGTTTATGCATTAAAATACATCAATTATTTGAACAAAAGACATGAAGAGCCAATTTTCAAGATCAAATAAATCTAACCTGTAAAATGTGCCCCCACCAAAACTAAGCTAGCTAGTAACTGCAAATTAAAACAAAAAGTTAACACTGTTTGCCTATTGAATTAACAAAGTTTTTGTAATTATAGTGACCAGTGTTGGTCAAAGTGCACTAAAACAGGCACTGTAATATTTTTACAAAGCTATCTGGTATCAGAAGCCATTAAATGTTCACCATAATTTATCCCATAATTTCATTCCTAAATAATGATTCATAAAGAAGTCAGTCAAAATATGGAAAATTTGATATGCATGATGGTGTTCATCACATTATTTATAGAGAAACCAGTATAATTCATATACTTTCTGAAGTATTATACAGCAATAAAAAGGTTGTTATAAAAATAATGAAGGGGTGTGGAAAAGAGTTTGTGATTCAATGTTATCTAAAAAAAGCTAAAATGCTAAACTAAGTATAATTTATGATTATAATGAGAAAAAATTAATTTGTACAGGAAAAGTTTTCGTAGTTATATTAGGAAAGTAGGATACAGTGAGTAAATTTTTTAGCATCTCTAATTTTCCAATTTTTGAAATGTGGACAGTTTTCTTTGGAAAACAAATATACATCTTGACTAATTTACTCCAGGCTGCTTTGCTAAAAATCAGATCATCCACCAGTATTCATTCATGCGTTTATTTCCATTAGTAGTGCAGATTGCCTAAGCAAAGTCACTATTTCTGGAAGTGCTCTGTTGCCTCAAAGTGAGGCAGAATTAATACCCAAATGTTTGCTTTTGGGGGCTGGGGGAATTCTCCATGGTAACAACCTGTCTAATTCCATCTTGTCCTTATTCCTTTCCATTTCCACTTTCGAGTTGAGGAGAAAGTAAAATGGAGCAAGAGGAAAACCAGAGCCTTCATCCCTGGCCAGCGCATATTCCCTGCAGACCCCTACCCACACCAGCCATAGCCCTCCATGACATGGGCCAAGGTGGTGCAAGGAAACCAGGCCTTGGCTAGGGCCTCTCCAAGGGCGTTCCCATGAAAGGAGCCTGAATGGCTTTATAATCACCTACTAGACATCTCCATCTTTAGCACATTAGAGCAGGTGAGAGAATTTGTAAGCTACGGTGAGTCAGGAATGATGGCAAGAAATCCCAATTCTTCAAAAAAAAAAAAAAAAACAAATTCCAATTCTTATTCCTCTCATAGGTTCTATCACTTGTCTCTTCGGACCTTTCTGTCTCCAGGCAAAAAGGAGTGAAGTCTCAATAGTATAATGGATTGGATCAAATCATTGAACATTCATCCCCTACTAAGCCCATGTGTGCAGCACCAGCCAGGGAGACAGACTCTGTGATCTCAGTCACAGGTCTCTCCTTCTAGCCCAGGACTCTATGCAATGGTCTGTACCCAGCAGCCTGCAGCTTCCTAAGCCGTCACTATCAATGAGAAACAGATAAGCCTTTAAGCACAAGGGAATGTTAGTGACATTAAAAGGAGCCCTGCTTGTCTCTTGGGTGACAGGTAAGTTGAACATCACATACTGCTGAGTTTCAGGTCCAACCCTTGGAGTTCAGGCTGCATACATGTGTCTGAGCAGGGCTGGTGTGGATGCAACGTTGTTTACCCAGTTAGCCAGGGGCTGCACCGCTGGAGCCAGGCTGGCTGGCCATGGCCAGGCTCACAAAGGGGCCTTGTGGCACTCGAGCCCAGCCTCAACGGCCTGTCTGTTACGTGTCCTGAGACATCTGATGTGTCATGTCAGCCTGGCTGCCAAGCCTGGCAGTCAGCTCAAATCCCTCATACATTTCTTCTTTTTTCTAATGACATAACTTTGAGACAAGTGACACTTTCCACAAATAACTGGGGAGACCTCCAGAAAGTGTTCCCCTCCTCCCCTGATCGTTTCTCCCACCTCATATTACACCTATTGCCATGTGACAAAAGGCAAAGGAATCCACTGTATACACTGCTGTTTCACAAACAGTAAAGCAAAAAAGAGGACAGAGACTTCATTTGGGGACAGTTTCCCCTCAGTCAAGCTCTAGAGGCTGAGTTAAGGAAAAGGAATAACATATCATAAACCAAACTCCGGTACGATTCTGAAATAAAATCATGGGTTATTTTAAACAGCTGCAGTAAATGAACGTGATGCAAATACCAGAGATATGGTAGTTCTTTAGTTGAAATTTCTCCTTTGACATTAGGAACGATAACAGGGGGAGAAGAAGAGCCCCTGGGGCCTCCCAGTGGAGTCAGATTACGCCGACTTCAGGGAGAATGAGTTCTACTGCCTGGCTGAGGTCTAGTTGGTTATGCTGCTCCGGAGCTGGCATCCCCAGCCTAATATGGGGAAGTGTGTCAGCGCTGGGCAGTCAGTGGCGGATCAGCCAGCTCTCCCTCTGCCAAGCCCCCGTCGCTCCCTTTTCAGAAGATGTACAGCCAGGGTATGTCCTGCACACAGCCACTGGGGTCGTGTGGGCAAACCCTAGCTCATTCAATTTAGAAACAGATAAATAAAGCCCTTCGTGAGAATGACATATCCAATAATAGGCAGTGGCCACTTGTCTTCTCTGTACAAGGTCAGCAACATCTAAACACCGGTGACTCCCAAAGTGTGATCTTCAGACCCAACTTCTCTCCTGAGAGTTTGATATTTAATTGCCTTATTGCCAGATGCCCTGTTCCTCAACTTCCATATCTAACTGATCAATAAATCCTGTCAATTCTTTTTCCCTGCCTCTCTAAATGCACTACGCTCCTCCATGCTCACTGCCCAAGCTTCACCCATTCTCATCTGGACTAGTGAGAGTGTCCCTGCAGGTCCTCATGGCCTCCGTCTCCCTTTCCTCGAGTTCACTGTGCACTGCCACTGGAGTCAGCTATTTGATGTCAACATTCAGTCCCTACCCAAAAACACTGCCTTTCCTAGTTGCCTATGGATACATTCCAAGCTCCTTAGTATGGTGCTCAGAGACCTTCACCAACTGGTCTCAACCTCCCCGTGCAAACATATCCTCCGCCACTTCTCAGCACACCCTGGCATACCAGTGCTCCACAACACTGCATTGTTCCAGACAAGCCTTCGTGGCCACTCTGAGAAATGGCCCTCCCTCTGCACAGTACATCCTGCTACTTCACCTCTACCTTCCACTCTTACTTGTCCTTCAAGACCCAATGCAAATGTTACCTCCTCTGGGAAGCTCTCCCCAATCCCTCCAGCTGTGAGTCATGCCCTCCTGTCTGCTTCCCTAGCACTTGCACACTTGTATCCTAAGACCACACGTTGAATGGCAGTAATCTGTTTACTTGCTGGTTTCCCCCGAGACAATGCAGTAAGGTCCTTGAGGGCAGGGATCATATCTTTATCTCTGCACCTGGAACAGCGCTGCAGAGTGGAGTATACACTCGGTAAGTGCTGCTGGATCCATCAATCAGCCAGAAGAATACATGTGAAGCCTGAGAGGGGAATTAGGGCAAGGGAGTGAAAGATTTTGATGTCAGGGTATGTGTCCAGGCCCCCTGCTGCCTCAGACTTGTGTGCTATGGAAATGTATTAATCTATCCAGACTTCAGTTGCTCATCTGTTGAATGAGGGGTGGGACTATGTGATTTCTACAGTCCTAGCATTCAGACTACATTTTCCTTTAAAATCTACAATGAAAAAGACTATAAAACCCCTTGGTAATAATATGTTCCAGGAGTTTGGATGCTCTCCACAAAGCCAGAGGAAAATTGCTACTTTGCCAGGCCACTAGGCAGAGCTCCCAAGGATGGTTAACAACTGAGGTTCCTCCCCTACACTCAGAATCCCCAACTGCCCTCTGTTACGTTTGGAGAAAATCCCTGGTTGCCCTCTACTCTGTTTCACTCTACATATTTTGGCTTCAAAAAGTGGCTTATTAAATATTACACGTAAGAAAAAAGAAACCTGATGACAAAAACCTAACATGCCCTGAAAATAGTAAGTGCTAATAACATGACTTGCTGAATTTTGAAAAGCTGAATTAAACCTCTAGGCCTGATACTCACCTCGTTACCCCATACTCTGGGGGTGGCTGGTACCGCAGGACAGCCACTTCTGTTCTCGCAGGCTGAGGAGCAGGGTAGGGCTTGACCATCTCATGAAGCATCCCAGGGTGCTGGTCACTGTAGAAAAGTCCATGCTCCTGGGTCTTGCTGACTGGGGACATCATTTGCTTGGTCTTGAAGGGGTACTCAGGTGGAGGACCTCGAGGGTCCAGCACTTTACCTGCAGGCTGGGCTGGGGAGGGTCCACCTCCCGCTTTGAAGCCCTTCCCATTCCCTGAGCCAGGGAGGTGTTGCTTAGCACCATTCCTCTCCAGTGACAGCTGCATGATCCTCTCACTGAGCGAACGGACATGGCCCTGCTTCAGTTCTTTCAGCGCCTCGTCCTTGTGCACCTGTCCACTGTTGGCACGGTTCACCGTGGGCCTCCCCTCAGTCCGGGACTTCTGACTGGTACCCCCAGCCATGTAGTAACCATGGCCCACTGCTCCCTGCTGCTGCTGCTGCTGCTGCCCCCTGAAGAACTGTGACTGGGCTTTAGCCTCCTCGTAAGTGGGCAGTTCCTCATTGTTCTGCTGAGGCTGTGTGGACCGGACCTGTTTCTCCATCACCGTATTGTCCACCTGGTGTTCCTGACCCTGCGGTTCCTGGCGTGCCGACTGGTAGACCATTTGTGGGTCTTCTTGAGTGAGGTTTTCTGTGGAAGAAAAGTTGTTTGTAGGGTGGGCTGGTCCTGCGCTCCCTGTGGCCTGGTGCTGAATGGCCAGCAGGTTCATGTTCTCAGTCGGGGTGCCATAGCGCAGTTGTTCCTGGATCAGCCGCTGCAATACTGTTCCAGCTGCCGCATCCTCGGAACCTCTCATTTCCACCTCTGAGATCCTCAGGAAGTTTGGGGAGTGGAAGTTACGAAGAGGATCCTCAGCTAAAAGATAAACATAGGGAAAGAGCTATTAGGCAGTTCTACAGGAGACATATGTCTGTGAGTATATAGCAGACGATTAACCTTCCAACTACAGTAGCATTTAAAGACAAGACTCCAAATACACCATCACCTTCACTGACCAGGCAACGTCTCCTGGACGTGCTTCTCCAACTCAGAGTGACTCTACCACTCCCACTCCCTCTCCTACTGCTTCCTCCTAAACTTTGCTCCAGCCTTCAACCCCTGCCTTTCCTTTACTCTCCCCACTGGTCGCTTTCCTTTGTCACATAAACATACCCAAGTCTTTCCCATCTTAAAAAAAATACAGGTGAAAACCAAAATCAAACAAAGAGAAACCACCTTTTCTTGGCCCTCCCATATACCTCTAACTGCCACGTGTATCTCTCCTTTCCTTCTCTTCCAGTTGTCTTCTGTAAGCACCCTACACTTGCTGTCTCTGCTTCCCAAATGCTCCATCCACTGCCCTCCCCACTGCTCTGATCAGTAACCAAATCCAATGAGAATTTTCCAGCTCTCAGGTTCCATACCTAACTTTTCTGAAGCAATGGACGTGACTATTCACCCTCTTGTTGAAATGCTGTCCTACCTCAGCCTCCAGGTCACCCCTCCTCCTGGTTCTGGCTCCTCTCGGTACACTCCTTCTCTGGCTCCCTTCTCTCACCTGGCCCTTAAATCCTGGTGTTTCCCACAGCTCTGTCCTGCGTGCTCTTCCACCGTCATGCAACAGAATCTCCCTGCACCACCACACCCACCCTTTGTCTTCAACTACTGACTCATGGCCCACATATCTACCACTACCAGCTGATGGCCCCTGAGCCCTTCTCGCTCAACGTATCTTCCTTGCCCCAATGCTTACCCACCCACCCGAATGCCAGTATCCCCTACCTTGTCTACCTTCTGTCAAGCCAGAGACCTCGGAGTTTTCCAAAATTCCTTCCTCTCCCTTACCCCCAACATCCAGTCAGTCGCTGCCTGTCAATTCTACTTTCCCAACATCTCTGCCAACCCTCTTCCTTAATCCTGTGCCAACCTCCAAGTTCCCCATTAATAATCACAACACAACCACAAGAATGCCTTAAATGTGTATATAGATGTGCCAGGTATTATACTGATTTCTCTCCAGGTGTTATTTCATTTATTCCACATACAATCCTAAGAGGCAGATATTAATTCCCCCAATTTACAGATGGGAGAGAAGTTCAGAGAAGGTAAATGACAGAGGCCACAGAGGAAGAAGAGGCAGACTCAGGATCTGACACCAAATCTGTTTTCTTCCACAATGTTACAAGCCCTCGGTATTTCATACTCAGGCCATTCCAACAGCTTCCTTAACTATTCCCCTGAATCTAGTCTCACTCCCACTTTCACACCCACATTTCAGACCCTAATCTATCTTCCATACTACCTCAAAAGATTGTTCCATGAGGAAAATCTAATCATGTCATTGTCACTCTTCTGTACAAAATTCCTCAATGTTCAATTACAGGATGAAACTGACATTCTATCACATGGTGTAGCAGGTAATGCCTACCTTTCTAGCAACATTTCATGCCACCCCCAGCCCCCATTGGCAACCCCTTGGAGTTTAAGCTCCAGCAAGACGTAAGTACATACAGTTTCGAAGACATGCTAGCTCTCTCCAGCCCCTAGACCTTTGATTGCATTCTTCCCATGCATCTCACCATGTCTCCTAGGAAATTCTTAGACATCCTTCAAGTCATAGCTCCAGAGCTACCTTCTGAGTAAAAACTTTCCCACTGCAGCCCAGCAGGCTTGAGCCCTCCTTCTCCAATGTCCCTACTCCATTTGTAGATATCTCTACTGGAGCAATTAGCACAGCAGATGGCAATTATTTATTTACACAAGACTTGAAACTCCTTAAAGACAAGGATCACATCTTCTCATCTGGGTCTCCCCAACACACAGCCCAATGCCTGCAAGTAACGGGGCTCAGACATTTAGAAGTAAAAGAATATCTACATGAGCTTCATGAAATATAACACTTAGCCCATTTTACAACAGTACTATTAAGTAGTGCATTAAGGATATTACATAGCATTGTGAGAGTAAAAATCCTACCACTTACTACTGGCATGACCTTGTGCAAATAACTTACTTTCTCTGAGCCCCAATATCTTGAATTGTAAATTAACAGAGCTGGACTAGATCATCTCTCGGCAGCCTTCAGGTGTACAGTTTCATGCATTGATGGCTCTGTGGTTTTATATTCACACAGAAGCACAATCATTTTCCCAAAAAAGTCTTTCTTCCCCAAGTACATATTCCCCAAGTACATATTTTTTCCCTATAAATGGCATCCTCATCACATGAGTCATCCAGATAGAAATTTCATATTCACTTTTGACCTTTTCTCTCCTTCACTCCCCACATTTAATCAACTGTCAAGCTAGTTTTTCTAAGTACATAGTGAAATGAGAAAAATGAAGGTGATGTGATATGCTTATAAGATATATACGTGTATGGATATCAACACTTCCACATGTGTATGCACGTAGACACGTGTCATTAGGTTTACAACTGTCTTTTTTGGGTAAGGACTGTCAAGGATTACGTCTCTCTTACTTTTTTGATATTAAAATATGAAAAAAGGTATATAACAGTAGATGACATGCTTAGTATCCTTGCAAAAGCAAAACACTGCAACTCTATGTTGGTCCCCCAATTTTTATTAAAAAATTTCACATTTGTGATAGTTAGACATTGGATCCAAGCCCCAGTTTCTGCACCAACACATTCCGCACCAGTCCCTTCTCCCACACCCTCAGCCACTCCGCAGGGCCCTGTCCTCCTTTCCAGCTGCTTAGACATCCGAATTCCTTCCCAGTCTCTCTTGCCTCTGGCCTCTTGTCCTTTCAGTCCCTACTACATTGACTACCTACCTCTCTTGCTCTACCAGATTCAGCTCCAGAGGGCAGAGTTTTGTCTGCTGTATCCACAAGCTGTCTCCCAGTGCCTACAACCCTGCCCTGACACACAGAAGGCATTCAGGACATGATTGCTGAGGAAATTTAAAAATTTTACAGACTGGTTCCTGAAGCTCTACTTTGATCATATGGATCTCCCTGTCACCTACCCCCCTGCAAAATCTCGCCTCTGTGGTTTCTCTAAAACTCACTCCTCTGAAAAATGGTAGCTTCATAGCTACCTCATAGGAACACACGTAAAGTAAATTCACACTTATTCTTTCACTTCCGAGAATGTATACTGTAACTGAGATATAAACCCAAGTTCAATAATAAAAAGTTTTAAATAGAAACAAATTATTAAAAGTCCACACAAGATGAATTGTCAAATAATTGTAATAAACGATGAACAACCCAAGGAGAGAGAGATCAATGTGGGTTGGACTGTGGATTGGTCCACTCATTCCCTTTACAGATATTTACTGCAAACCTACTATATTTCAGGCACTGGGCTAGGTGCTGGGTTATGAGGGTAAAGAGGACATCGTCCTTACCCTGAGGGTAACCGATCTCAAAGGCTTACTGGAATAAGCACATTCAAGCAAGAATAAAAATTTTTAAATAATACTTGAATAAAAATATATTTCCAAAGGAAAACGATTTATTTGGATGAATAATAAAGGACTGGATCTCAACAAGCATGAAAACTATTGAACTTTTTCACTGAAGTAAGAGAAAAATGAGTTATAAGCACATTTGGCAAGAACCATGACATCCTTCCCTAAAGTAGTTTTAAAGATAACCTCATAGTTTTACCAGTCTCAAAAGCCCTCAAAAATAGATAGGAAGTTCTTACAAAGGAGACAGTTCCTTCCCTACTTTAGTTTTGAATTATTTCTTTTGAACTCCTGAATTATTTACCAAAACAGATAAAAATAAAAGCAGAGAAAGAAAAAGGAAATGAAAGATTCTGAGAAAGGGTAGGAAAAAGCATTTAGGAATTAGATAGAGAAAAATTATGGGAAAAATGGTATAATGCTTAAGTTCTTACATACTTAGGTATGACTCTCTTAGAGTCACATATTAGAGTAAAATAGTCTGTTAACACTATAGCACCACATAATTAAAAATAAGGGACCTATCAACACAGAAACAACCAATAATCCAGCATGCTGATTTTTAAAACAAGATTAGAGAATACAGAAAAATCTGAATCATGTAAAAGAGCTAAAAATGAGAAATGTAAGATCATTTTGCTTTTCCACACAAGTGCCAGTAAAAGGACTTACCAACTTTTTCCCTGATGCTACTGTTTGCCTCCACTGTCAAAGCAGATGCCTCATACCTCCCAGAATAGAGCTGAAAGTCTGGGGCAAAGTAGTTGGGGTCTTCTGGAATCTGGCCAGGACTACTGGGGCTGTAACAAACAGGAGGGAGACCTGGGGAGAGAAAGCAAAGTGAACGTGAGTGCCAACAAAGCCCTCCCTCCTTCCTGTGTGACTCACAGGGGCCCACGAGGCATTCGCCCACATCTCGACTCGCAGTGGGAGCTCTGTCTTTTTGATTCATAAAATTCCTAAGTTACTATTCAGGATTATCACAAGTCCAGCCACCCACCAAAATGACCCATGAAATCAACATAACCATCTTCAAGACATGCTGAGAGAAGGCACGAATGCTTTCACGCAACCCGGTTCCAAGGGCAGCAGACGCACCACCAGTCAAAGTCAAGTCCTCTGGGGGTGAACGTGTCACAAAGTCAGGAACGGTCAAGGTGGGGATAGAAAGGAGGGAGGTGGCTGTCTCTAAAATATAGAAGAGATACAGAGAGGGGTGGTCATTTTGCCAGCCCATGTGTTATCAAGAGAATGTCCCAGTGCAGGACAGAGCACTTTCCCCTTCAAAGGCTTCTAGAGTCTCATGTTGCAGCATGGAGCTGGGGCTACGGGTTCTGGTCCTCTGCCAAGCGCTGGCCTTTCAGTTTCAGTTTATCTGCTTCACACACAAACCAGAGTGTGCTTCCTGTTCCAATTAAATGTGACACTGTATTCAGTCCTTCAGTCACTGAACATGAGATACCACCACAATAACACTGATACTGCACATACAACATCCGTGGGAACATTCAGCAGGATGGGCCCAGGCTGTTTTTCCCTCTCTGCACTGATTTCTCTGCAGGGGCACCAACCTTAAGGCTTTTTTTTGGCAAAAGTAACTTAGTTTACTCTGGGGAAAGAGTCATACAATTTTTCTTTTTATTAAAATCCTTGCCTGAAAGATAATTGCACTATAAGAAAAATAACGTTTTTCAGCAATTTCTTCAAACAGGTAATTTGAAATTTCTGGCTAGGTTTGTTATATAGTCACCTTGCACAAGGCCAAAGCTAGCAGAAGTGACTAAGCAATTATGCTGATTGGCCATTAGATGGAAATGTACCTCAACACGTGAAATAGTATTTGCATGTATGCTCACATGTGTCACAGGCATGTTTGGACGAGAGAGAAAAAAGATTTTGACAACTAGGATATTTATCTGTAAATTTAAAATAAATGTGGTTGTGACTCTCACCTTAAAGATGAATATAAACAATATGAATGGCACATTGTACGAAGATCAGTCTAGAACTACAGTTCCAGCACGTAAGACAGGACCAGTCAAGCCTTTTCTTTTTGGCCCACCTGCAAAGGACTACCCTGAAAGAAACTCAGCCTCTTTCTGGCTCTCATTCTCTACATCTATGAATCTAAAAGTCTAGGGCTAAAATTAGGCATCATAGATGGCCTCAATCCAAAGGCAAATCCTGACCTGGCTTCTCCTTTCGGGTAGGTGGAAAATGGTGGAAAACTAGAGAGGTGCCAGGTGCAACCTTGGCTGCACACAAGAATCGCCCGGGAAACTGAAAATCCCAGTACTCACCCAGACCTATTCCATAAGAACCTCTGGAGATAGGACCAAGGCATCTGCATTCTATAAAGCTCTACAAACGATCCCAATGTGCAGCCAAAGGTACACTAAGCTAGAGGGAGAACAGCACACATAGGCAAAAAAAATCACCTTTCTGTACGTTCACCTCCACCCCTCCCCACCAAATCGGAATAAGAGAAGAGTTGAGAGCCCATATGCTTCAGTCAATGAAAGTGTTGTGACTTCTTAAAATAGATACTGAGTCAGGAATAGTATGTGCCAGCATATTACAACTTTGGGTAATACCACCCAGTCACACGACTAATAATTTTAAATAATAACCAAGCAAACTGTTAATAAAATTGAGACCCAACTAAGAAAAAGATATGCGCGTATATATGTAAGTGTGTATGCATATAAAGAAGATGCAGGGGTGGGTGTGTGTGTGTGTGTGTGTGTGTGTGTGTTTTCAATATGGAAGTCAGCATGGACCCCTGCACTAAGCCATTCACAGTTACTGCAACACTGGTGTGAGTTACTTTTCCACACCTTACCCCATGGCCTGCCAACTGAGAGTAGGTTCAAGAGCCACAGAACACTACACACAGAGGGCAGTACTTAAAGAGGGGCCTCAGCACAGAGGACACCAAAGATAGGCCACCTTTCACCATTTTTCCCTCAATGTTATAAAAGAACCGAAGCACCTCACAGACACACAGCCCCATTCAGACTGAAGGACAGGATGCCCAACTATGTGGCAATGATCACTTAGGACGTCTGCTTTTTCCACACACACTTGGGGACCCACATGTTCACCAAGTCACATTCCCACTGCTGCCCACCACTCCTCAGTGCTGAAGAAAGGCAGGACAGCTGAGCAGATGACAAGAACAGGCCCTGCAGACAGACAGGCCCAAGTACCATCCGCTCCACTGAAGCTAAGAGACAGCCAGGGGAGCTATCGCAGCATAAACCCAGCCTGGAGGAATCACTTTAACCACCAGTTTTCTCACTTTGTGCTTCACAAAGTCTGCACCGGATTCCTGGGCCATAGATCGAAAATCTAAGGGAGGCCCAGCCCAGCCCCCGTGTACTTTTAGTTCACTGTCTTCACTGGGAACTCCTATAGCATAAATTGAGTTTTTTTTCTTAGGCAAAATGCAGGGCCCATGACCTAACTGACAGAGTCAAGGATACCTGAAATGAGGAACTGAAAGGAACCTTTGGCATGAGGGGGAATGCTGTTTTCTTTGTTAGCCATTCATATTTGGGAGCAAGAGCTGCGAGAAACCACAGACGGCTCCCAGATACCACCACCACCCAGAAAGCCCCTGCAGGGCCTGGCTCGGGCCCAGGGACTAATAAGTAACAGTGCCAGTTTTCAGGGGGCCTACAGTTTGTCAAGGTCTCTGCTGGCTCAACAGTGTGTAACATGTACAGTGTAGTTGCGTGTAGGGGCGTCATAAAGACTATTCCCAAATGAGGCCCTCTAGACTCAGCGAGTGACTATCTTCTTTCAGCTCAGCACCTTGTCTAAGGATTACCACTCACTCAGCTTTAGCCTGCATGAGGAAAGTGGCAAAAGCCATGGAAAACAAGCTAAGGTCAGTGAAGGAGTCGGCTCTCCAGGAAGTCTCTTGCTGGCGAGAGGCAAACGCAGCCCCTAGGGCCCTATTCTGGCAGAAATCTAAAGATGCCGCACCCAACCAAGAGTGAAATTCTAAAATGCTAGTTTAAGTGTTCGACATTTCTGCTGTGTATTGACTATGACCCATTTCGCCATGAATGGCTCCTTTTTCTTTACATAATCTCTATGTCATCTGTGAACAGAAGACTCCTTTGCTTCTCTCTCTCTAAGCGTGACTGTTGTGGGCTTGCTTCTGAAGCACTGAAAATTTCTTCCCCATTATGGTTGCATCCTTTCTTTGTAACTGTCCAGGGGCCTTTAGGTAACATGACCCTGAACAAGACTTTTTTTCTTTCCTTAGTAGTGGCAATAACAAACGGCCTCATTGTTGAAGGCAAAATGAATTAAGGTAAAATGAAGTGAGCTATCTGGGGAGGCAAGAGGCACAACAAGGAACCCTGGTGAGCTGCTCCTCTGCTTCACCTGCCACTGGAACACTAATTCCCAACGATCAGCTCCTGCATCTGTCCACAGGCCAATATGACAGGCTCGGAAGGTTCCTTTAGGTTTAAACTCCGGAGGATATGAAACTCATCCCACTATCATCCAACACACACAACTGGGAAACCTCCATCCTGAAGTTCCACTTGCAGAATGCCACTCCCTCACACACAGCCATTTGGGCTATAACTTCAGGGCTGGAGTTTGTGTATTTATCAAGGCATCTGTAATCAGCTCCACTCCCCCATAGCTGTTCATAGCCTTGCTGGTCCCCTCAGCACCCCAGCATCCCCTGAACGTGGCATCATCATTCTCCAAGTGCCATCCTCTGGCTTTGCATGCAGCCCCAACTACTTTAAAGTTCATCCCAGTAAATGTATTAATACCTCTGCAGTTTACCTCCTCTACAATGTCCACTGCCCCCTCACACACACTGGCCTCCCTTCCCTCAACTATCACCACGATTATGACCCGAGCACACAAAACTTGGCATTTGAACTTCAACTGCCTAGTATTTAATATAGCAGCTTTCATATAGCTACTAGGCTGGTGTCATTGCCCTGGTAAAGACATAAGCCCTTTGAAGGCAGGCACCATCCCGTGTACTTGCTAATTTCTACAAGTACGCAGTATGTAAGTGTACGTCCTCTTACTACTTGCTGACTGATGGCAAGAACATGGCATTATCCTCTGGAATAGTCTCACTACCAAGTAAGAGTTTAAAGGAAAGGTCAAAGATTCCTTCAAAACCAATCTGAAAGTTCCAGATAATTCCTGGACCTTTCAGTTCCCTAAGAGGAGGGAGCACTTACTTTGTAGATGATACTGGTGCTTTGAGGTCTGCAGGTCAGACACCATTCCTCAAAGACATCACTAACTGCAAAACGACTCCCAGGTGTTTTGTCACCAAAAGGCAAAACTTTCTGCCAGCTACATGTAATCCAAAACCTCCTAATACATTTAAAAACGATTTCACTGTCTAGATTAGAATAGCCTCCTATAACTTTACAATAGAAATTTTAACCACAGCAACAAACAATTCTGTGGCTTCTACCTTTCCTTTGAAAGAGCTAAGGAATTTGCTGAGTGTGCCAGCAGCCTCAAAGTTAAGTGGAAGCAATCAAGCCTTTAGATTCTGGCAAAACTCGAGGTTTTTCTAGGGAGTGGAGTACTGTGCTCAGGTAGATAGATGCCCTGGAAACCATGCTTAGAAGGGGCCTGGAAACCCTATGACCAGTACCTGAAAAATATGTTTTAGTCTGTTCATGAGTCCTCATGTGAAAACAAGCCAGCTTATTTGGATTAGCCAAGCCACAATCTGGGTACCTGAGACCTGTGTAAAGCATAGACAGGCAATGATACCCTCCTCTGCAAACAGCTGCATGAAACACACAACAGTTTAAAAA